AAACAGCCCTAGCCAGCGCAGCAGTCTGGGCTACTGTTATGTTGTTGTTTTCAAAGGTCATGTTACTTTGCACTGAAAGGCTAACTTGCAATTAATGATATCATGAGCCTCCATTGTATTAGAAAATGAATCTATTCATGCTTCTTTCGTTGCATCTTTATTTTTTTTGCAGATTAAGAGTATTTAAGAGTATTTTATTCTTGTGATATAGTTTTCATTTTTGTCTTTTTCTCCTCTTGTGTGGCACTATTTTAGTTTCACAAGCAGCTATAGCACCTGGAGTGGACATAAATCTCTGGATTTTACATATCATTTCTTCAAGTTGCACACAGCAAACTTTCCCCCCTCTTTTTTCCTCTACTCAATCAGCAATATTAATTTTGTCTTGGAACAACAACAAAAAAAGTTTTTGTTTAAATTTGCCACCTAGTTTTGTTAAATCCCCTATGACCTACCATCTCCTCCAGCCAGCTGGTCCTGTTGTGGCTCTTACAGAAACAGACCCCATAATGCTGCCAGTTTAGGCTTGCTTGTATTGTAAAAGCGGTACGTGTTTAGTCATTTTTAAGCGGATTGTGAAATACTTATTCATAATCAGGTTGTCCCTCTGAGGCTAGAAACTCCATTGTTGCCCCTTTCATCCTGGATTGTTCTTTCATTATATAAATCTCGGTGATGTTTCTTCTCTCTTAGATGAATTTTATTTGCACAGAGAGGAAAAAAAATTGCAAGAGCATGATTGTGTCATTTGTTACATATTTAGTTGTTATTTGGTATTACTTGATATGTTTATGAATGGTTTGACATGCAAACAACTAGCAGGAGCAGTTTTTTTTTTAAGTAATAAATTGCATCATAAATTCTCTATTAAAGCGGGACCTACAGTCTGTAAATGTACTCTTCAGATGCCCGTGCCAAGTTGTAAAGCTTGTATGAGGCCCGACTTTGGTAAAAATCAGCTGTTTTTGTCTTTGTGAGGCAGGAACTGCTTGATGAACTAGTTATTTAAAACAAGTTCACATCTGTGAGGGTGGGCATACAGGCTACCTTAGAAAAACAGCAACTTACAGAAGTTTTTTTATAGTTGGAGGCTTAGGGAAAAACTTTTTCTTTGGAATTTTTTTTTTTTTTTTTTGATGGCACTAGTGGCTTGTTTTTTCGACAGTAGACTGACAGGAAAGGGGGTATGAGAGAGGGGGAGAGACATGTGGCAAAGGACACAGGTTGGATTCGAACCCGGGTGGGACGTGTCGAGGAGTAAGTGCCTCCGTACATGGGTCGTGCGCGCTAACAAGAGTTGCACCGATACAGATACCAGTATCGGGCGGGGCCCCGATCCAGCACTAAAATGGTGTTGTCTGTATTGGCTAGTACCAACAAATAGGGCACCGATGCAATTTTGAGAGCCAACATTTTATTCAACTATTGTCACCCATTCCAGGTAGGCAATAAAAAGTTCTACTGGAGTCACTTTGTATTAGTCTTTTTCCTGCTTCACAAAGGTAGGCAGCAGCTTGAAAAAGCCATGATGGCAAATATTTTGCATCTAAGTAGTATGCAGTTCTTCATATATATACACACACATCAATTTCAAACAGATGGTATCGGTATCAGCCGATACTGCGCAGCCAGGTATCATATCGGGGCCAAAAAAATGGCATTGGCACAACACTAACGCTAACCCCTGCGCCACCTGCACGCCCATTTAGTGTTTTTGCTAACCTGTTCTTAACTTCCTAGGAGTGGGCATCAGTATTTGCTTTAAGAAAGCTACAGTGCAATTATTGAAGGGTTAATCTCCATAACGTGAAAGGTAATAATGTAATAATTCAATAAGGTCAATCAGTCTATTAGAAAATGACAATCTTACAATCGGCTGTACAGTTTATTAAGCTGAAAACAAACAGTCTTTTAGTGAGTCACAGCTGTTTGGCTTGGTGGTTTACAACTTTGTGTGTTGGTCACAAACGCTAAATTTAAATTTACAAAAAAAAAAGTAATCAAATTATTGAAGAAAATTGAATCCATAGCTCCAACGGAGCCAGTTTCTATCTGATAGCAGAGGCGATCTTTTATTACAACTCTTTAATCTGGAGAAATTCAAATTCGACTTAAATGTGATGCTTTGGCACCCTCTCTATTAATGTGTCTGCCCACCCACTGTCCCCCCCTCCCCCCATAGCTAAGCGATAGGCTTCACTGTGCTCTTAATGAGGATGACAATAGCGCAGGTCCGGTTACCTACATCTTTAGTGCTGGCTCACGACGCGCTTCAGGATAGTAGATGGACCGGACCACCCCAGAGCCATCGCTGGTGGGGATTACTTAGCCATCCCAGAATGCACTCCCCTTTTACCAGCTGGGAGCATCTGTACCGTCATTCGACCTGCAGCTTCAATGACCCATTAACTGTCAGAAAATCTTCTCTTTTAAACCTTTTGCATGAAAAGCTTTCTACTTGCTGAACAGATTGCAGAGTTAAGATCAGAGCTGGCAAATTAAATAGCCTGTTGTTTGTTTTACGTATCTACTTAATCATCCCTGTCTGATTTCAGTGTCCTTTTGGTCAAAATGTTGCATTTCAGAAGGTCTGCCATCAAATAACTGTCTTAAAGGTTTTGTGAATCAACCCCTTCACTCGGTTACCCCTACGATTAAATCTAACGCACGTCTCGGGGAGGATCTAACATCTAGAAAGTATTGGCAGAGTTTGAAATTCTGAGTTAGAATTCCTGGTTCAACCAATAGTTTGCACATAAATCTGACTTAAGACATACATTGAATAGCAAACATATGGAAGACGTGGCTACAGTCAGATGTCCATAGACTAGATCATTTACATGCTAACGGTCTGCTTGGCAGAAAACCAAAAATCTACAAAAGACAAAAATTAAGGTTATATCATTATACAGTTGGTATGCTTTTTTAAAAACTCTTTCTAACAGATTTCAATATTCAAAAAAAGCTAGAATAAGATGTATTGGTGGATGCAAAAAGACTGGAGACCGGGGCGTTTGAACTACAATGGAGTGGCTCAGACAGAAGCACGATTACGTCTAAATAGACCCCAAATATCAAACTACTCAGACATTAATGTCCAGAACTTCTCCATCCATTCTGATTAAATACTTTCTGAAGGATTAACTTCCAGTCTAGATTAGGGATGGAACGGTTTTTGAAAACCGTACGAACCGCTCGGTTCGATTTGCGTGTGTTGTGTTCGGTTCATGCGCAGCTCTTTTTTCTCATAGGCGAAGCGTGTACACTCCAGAGCAGAAGGTGGCGGTACTGCGACCAAAGCCAACCACCAGTAGTAAACAAGAAGAAGAAG